ATCAAAAAAAAAAAAAAGTAAAAAATGTCTACTAAAAAGTAAAATATTTTAATAAGTATTGATAATAATTAATAATAATCAATAATAATCTATAATATATCCTAGACAGATAAACCATCTCCGCTCAGAATCATTTTTCGTATACAATAATATGATATCATTGGATTCAAATTTAATTCCATCCATTACAGTAACCCATTTTTAACCTACTGTACAGCAGAGCAATATCCACTTTGCCACTTTTTTTTTTAAAGTTAAATTTAGGTACCATTTATGCCCATTTGGCRATTTCTATTTAAAAACTGTAGCTATGTGTGTTGATAGATATTTGCACCTACATAATATTGTACACTTTCATTCTAAACTTATGCCATTATATAGGTACATAMATAATATTTATCTCTCAAAAAATTTAATAAATTCTTTAAATAATTATTACTACATTCTAAGTTTTTAACTTAAATAACTTTACTTTTGGGACTTTTAGACCAAYTACAAACTTCAACTGTGACGTTTGACTATATAWAAGTCTGTTTTAACCTCTCATAATTTTTTGCTAAATATTTATTATACTATCTCATGTGTGAAGACATTGTAATAATTTGTAATATCTAATATCAATTTTATAAGAATTGAATACACAATATTAAATTTGTTTTTTTATTAATTAAATGTAATCATTTTTCCACTTAAAATAGATAAATTATCTATTCTAGATTTTGACATTGTTGATAGTTATGTTGAATGCATCTGAGTTATCAAGTATGATTTMAGGTTGGTAGATTTATATTTTTCACATATTTATATCATTATTGTTTAATATTCAGTACTAATTATAAATTCGTTTTTACATCATTAAGAGAATCCTATTGTTTTGGTAACCATATTCTTGTTACTACTTACTTGGGCCATGGCAATTGCAGGAGCTAATTCAGTAAGTTATAATATTGTTGTATCATTATAATGTGTTAATAACTATAATAGTGGACTAATAATCAGACTTAAAAATAAAAAAATAATATAAATCATAGTCGGAAAAGATAATAGAAAATAGATGAAGTATTATATCTACTATCATTGAATGAATTAGAATGTACAAGTTTTCGTTTAATGTTTTTGAATACACTTCTAATAAATGATTCAAATTCTAAAACTTCAACAATTTTTTAGTATAGTTACAAAATTATATTACATTAATATGATACTATTGTAATGTTAGGCAGGTGGTACATAAAATGATTGAATATTAAAACTTATTGGTACCTATAGCTAGATATAGATTGTAGTAAATAGTAGGYACTATTACCTCAACTAATCTATACTTATTCAATTTGACCATAGGGATCAAGAAAATTGATAGCTTTGTCAATTGTTATTTGGGCCATATTCATTATTGATTGGCTAGTTTTATCGTTATACTTTAGAATATTAATGAACAATACGTAAGATATTACCATACACTACTATCATCATCACAATAATATTAATACCGTTAAAATAATATTGTATAGAAATTTCTGCGTAGCGTTAACAACGAGATGTGCTCCATCTATGTGGCTTATCGGAARCGGAGGAGGAGGCTATGAAAATAACGACGTAATGTATCAATAAAACTGTATTCCTCTTTATATATTTTAGTATTTTAATATAATTGTCTTAGAATTTTTAGAATTACAATACACACTGTAGTCATCGATGTTTGAATGTTTCCATTGTAGTATTAGATTCTGAGCGGAGCGAGGAATGTATTATACATTTTAAATTGTAATTGATTTTAGGTTAATTACCTTTTGTTATGTTTAGGAGCTATATGTTTACATAAACTATAAGAAAACAATTTAGCTTAGTAAAAATAATATAGAAACAYTGTACCTACCAATTTATATAATTTAATTAAAATAGTGTCTGCGGCGGGAGCACAATTTTGCTGAATAAAGAAATGATTAGGAATAATTTCATTACCTACTAAATTCGGCTTTTGTTACGACGGTGAAATATATACATTCACAATCGTATATAAGCAATTATTTACCGTAGAATATTGGCTCCGTAAACTATGGTAACGTATTCAATATAGATATATTTATCGTTTGTATACAACAATATGAAAAATTCAAATACATAATATTATCACTCTAAAAACTGTTCGCAGTCGTTTGAATATAAGATAAAAAAAATAGTATATCTTTAATCTGCCATCAAAAAGGTACCAAAAAGGTAAAACGTACACAACTTTATAACATCATAAATTATAATTTTCGTATTATGTAAAAATTATATTTTTTTCTTATTGTGCCTACATTACTGTTTGTGACGGTAGGTCACTTTAAGTCACYTGTATTAACACTATATACACTATATTTTCTAATTATGTATACAAGTAACACGTTAAGTAGGTAGGTTAGTATAAGGTTGAGTTGTTTGTTGAATTTAAATAATTGTATTTGTAATTATTGTTGTAAGCAGGTAATTTTATACGTAGACCTAGAACAATATTATATTATGTATTATCACTTGAAAATTTTAATGAATTTTAAGACTTTGGATGATGAAAATAGTACGGATACAAATACAGAAAACAACGAATTATGGTCAATAATTGACTTACCAGAAGTAAATGTTAAGAATTTTCATCCGGTGAGGACGAATGTAGTCCCCATAGTAACCCCTGTCGTTGCTACTACTGCTAATACCGTTATTTCAAATCAAACGAGTATGGTGATTGATGTCAACAACGGGTGTGGATGTGAACGTCATCCRCGGACAACTACTGAAAGCCCACCAAGCGATTTAAGAACGCGCGTCATCGAGTATCGAAAAAATATGGCGATGTATCGTCAAACCGCGGAGGCTACAATACAACGTCGAAAGAAAAAAGAAGAGGAAAAAAAACAGGTAGCAGAGGAAGACTATGATGCTGAAGATGACGAAGATTCTGACGACTCTGAAGAAAAAAACAAAGCTGCAGTTGATCTCATAGACTATTTGACTATGGCAATTTTTTTGCGTAAGGTTCCACGTTCCACTATTTATTTTTTGTATACGTGAAGTTGCCAATCACCATATTGCACTAGCCGCCAAACTGGGGGGGCGTGTACACATTGCTGTGGCGAGCAGTTATTACGAAGTACAATTTTTATTTTAAAACTTAGAGAAAAAAATATTTGACCGGAAATCTTTATCTGTTAATCGAGTATCAATAACGGATAACCGATAAAGACTATAAATGTTTGGCCGCAGAGGGTTACTTAATCGTTTTATGTCACGTTATCTGTTTAATAATTCTTGTCTTATTCCGAATATTGTATAGAATATAGATAGTCAATATGTAAAGTACACCAAAAAAGGTGATCGATTCTTTACAATTTATAGGAGGGGGCGCGAGATTTTCGAAAATCTTTAAAGGGTGGCATAGAATAGGAGAGGTTGGGAACCATGCCATACTGAAATGATGATAATGATCACAATCGCACGTTAGTAATTAATGAGTGGTATATAAGCAGGGTATCTGGGTGTCTTGTGTTAGTATATAATGAGAAAACGAAAAAAAAATATGGTTGAAACCAAAAGCAACGATTTAGCAATATTATAATAAAACTTAAATACTAGGTTTATTATTATAATAAATTATTTATTTACATATTTTTGTCTTGACGAGATAGGTACCTAAATTTAAAAATTATAACAATAAAAAACGTACCGAAAAAATACTTAGAAGTTGTAGGTGTATACTTTGATGAGCTCAATATATTTTGCTAGGATTGGTAAATTTATTGTTCATTTATTTTAGTCCATTGTTTTTAAAAAAAATATCGATAATTTTGTTTTTAAAGTCGCCCCTTTAAAACTTAAGACTAGGAATATCGTACATTTTTTCTTTTAATTTATTGAAAAGAACTCTTCTAAAGTTTTAAATCTATATTATATTCTCAATTTTATTTGTGATAGTTGGTGATGTATGATTGCTCCAAAGTTAAAAACCAATTTTTTCACATTATTTTTATTGAAATATCATCTTTGCTATAAATTTAAAATTGTATTTTGAAATATTGTRATTATGCTAAAATTTTCAAAAATATATAAATAATAATTTTGTTGAATAATTCAAATTAGTATGATTCAGAAAGATTATTTACAAAAATCCAAAATTATGAAAATGAAAAAATATGCAGTTAAATACAAATCCGCGCTTTAAGTACAACTTATGTACTGGTACCTACTTTATATTTTTCACAACTCTTGGTGATTCAAATTTATTTGCTTGCCTTCTCAATATTTCAAACCTCTTGGCAAATCAAAACTCGATAATTCTAAATTGTTAAGAGTCCCTGCAACTTCAACTGTAGTTATTTATTGAATGTRAAGGTGAGGAAGAAGTTGGCAATTGTGTAGATGTATGGTAATAACTCATAACAGCGTAGAAGTATCAGAAGGATTATGTGACATTTTTTTTCAATTGAAATTAAGCCCTACTTATAATGCTATTTTTGTTGCAGTGCTGTTCCTGTATGCATTGCATGTACTATTGTCCTACCACAGTGAACTAAAACTTATTCGGGATTGTACATGTACAATTCTTACATAACATCACATGATTACTACGAAAAAGCAGCCATGAAACAATAGTACGTATTTTACCACATAATACATAAATATAGAAGGTGGCTGCAATGATAGAAGTCTTGACCGAAAATAACTTTATTTAAGTGAATAGGTATTAAAAAATAAAAATAATAAACATAATTGATTGTTTTATTTTGGCATGTAAAAATCACAATGGTTAAGGGGAAGATAAAATGAAATAGAATATAGAACTATGAAATTTGATATAGGTATTAGACATTGGTGATTGAATAAATGACTCTAATGGATATGCAAAATTTGAATTCAATCATTGCATACTTACGAAAAACAATTATAAGTTAATAAAGTGGCTCAATTTCTAAGGATATTTTTTAATTTATTTATATTATCTGCCAATATATTAATTTATATTTCTTATAGAATGGTCTATTGAAATAATTCTTGTCAAAAATTAGCAAATTATACCATAAATTATTGTTATTACTTATTGATTATTAACTTATAAATCAATACACACAATGGTAGACGATGTAAACTGGTTTATTGTATTAACTATCAACAGTTAGAATAAATATTTTAAAAACGACTTYGCGAAGAGAAAATAATATAAACATTTTGTAGTAAAACATTGCAATGCCCCATTATTGATACCTATTTATTTTTATTACAACGAAATTACTAAAAWTTTTATTTTTTTGTATAAATGTACTATTTCATCAACATTTGAACTATATATGTATAAAGTACCTATTACCTATTAGTTTTGTAATTTAAATGTTTTTGGAATGTTGTAAGACAAACTCATAAAAACAGATATACATTTTCAAGAATTATTAGGTATAAATATAAATATAAAAATTTAATTTTAATTTTTAAGTTACAAATATGAAATAATTAGATAATTAGCAAATTGTCATGGTTTTAACAAAAACTTTCAGGATTTATCTTCAAAAACATTTAAGAATTTTTCGCAAATTAATGACGTATTAATGTATTTTTAAAGTTTTTAATTTTTAAAAATATAAATAAAAGTTACCAGTTACAGGAACTTTTTACATTTTAACTTTTCAAGCTATTTAGACGAGAAATAATAGTCTATTGACATTTATAGAGAAATAAACTAATCATTTTATTATCAACAATATTGTATCACATTGTTGAAAAATCTTATCACAGTTTTATTATTATCACAAAACGATAAAATCGAATAATTTCTCTTCAAACAATTTACCTATAACCCTACTGTAAAAGTTACCAAATCACCAATAATTTTTTTCCAGCTCGCGCAAACAAGAAAAAAAGTGAAACCCGATAATATTACACGTTTTAGAGTTGTAATGTTTATTATTTTTTCATTATTTTTAGCAACGTCAATGATTTTAATAGCCCGTGAACAATTTCCAGATTACAAATATGGTCCTTCAAAAATATTAACTGGTTATAATAGACCCCTGCGGCCTATTGAACTAATATTATCATAGGTATTTAATTTTCAAATAAAAAAAAACGGGTAAGTGGATGTCGCTCTGCTGTACATTAGGTGGTGGGGTGGACCTCTGACTAGGGTAGGTTAGATTTGAATGCAATGATAGGTACATTGTATACGAAAAACGATTCTGAACGGAGATGACTTGTCAGTCTAGGATATATTATAGATAATTAAAAATTTTCAAATCTTTAATTTAAAAAGAAAATTTTGTATAAATTTCTAGCTTAAAATAATTTGCGAATTTTCGTAATTTTTACGTATTTAAATTTT